TTTTATTTGTAAAAAGGCAAATTCATTTTTGTTGTTTAATTTACATGTTATTGGTCATCCTTAGGCTCACTAAGTACTAAATTTGTGTAAATCTTTTGTGTGTTGCTATGAATAAATTTTATTGTAGCTTTTAAACTCAGTTCATGTCATCTGTTATTTTGTTGTTACCTCAAACATTTTTTTTTAAATATTTTTAGTAGGAATTTTTATCCCACCTCCAAAATCCCCAAAATCTTGTAACATGAACCAGAGAGAGAAAGAAAGAAAAAGAAAAGAAACAACTTATAGATGATACATGTGATTAAGACTGCAGAATCTATCAACAAAAATATAACAAGATAAGCAACAAAAAAGAAATCATCAGTGTTGAACTTGGAATGTTAATGGCTTCAAGAGTGAACACCAGTGATGATCAAACTCATACATTAGTAAATGCTTTGTTAACTGTCACTTTCTTTGAGTAAAAAATACTGTGCAAGTCTATTTGAAATACAAATGACAAGCTGAATATTTATTTGGAATGTAAAAGAAAAAATTAAAAAGAATAACTTAATATAAATTGTATATACAAGAGGTATTATAAAAGGTTTGGAACCTGAATATGATCCTTTTTAGTATTTTAAAATATTTTATCAGATTGTACTATCATATGTATTTCTTTCACAAAACTGCAACTTACAATTAATTCAGAAGCAATAAACAAATTGAAGACTGACTAAAATCAAAAATTGAAATATTGTTATTAAATTTTGGGCATTGGAACACACTGCATTATTTATATTATTCAGACTGTTATCCTCATCTTCACTGGCATATTCACGTTTCCGCCATTGTACACTTCGGCCTTCTTCAGGTGATTGGAATTTTAAACCCTTTATTTCATCCGCCAGGAATATATTGTTCTAGTTCCACGTGCCATGCCTCTTCTGGATTTCTCAGTTATTTCCCTTTAACTCAACTCTCCAAGTTTTGGTTCACCACTGCTTTGGCTTGGTACTGAACTCACAACTCTTTGGATATAGTCACTGGATCTAACATAGCCAAGTGGACTGGTTAGATCCAGTGACTAGACGCAGAGAGTTGTGAGTTCCGTACCAGGCCACAGCAGTGGTGAAACAAAACTTGGAGAGTTGAGTTAAAGGGAAATAACTGAGAAATCCAGAAAAGGCATGGCACGTGAAACTAAAACAGTCTGCCTTGGTGAATGAAATAAAGTGTTCGGTTCAAAATTCCAATCACATGAAGAAGTCCAGAACATACAACGGTCAAAACATTGTGAATATGGCAATGACGATGAGGATAATAGTCCAAATAATGTAAATAATGCAAGTAATCATAATACCTCATCTCAGATATGGAACAAACTTATCTGCAGGAAATCTGATTGCATAAAATATGACTACAATGAAGGATGCCTATCATATATAATAGTTAAATATGGGACTGCTGAGAGAGGAAAGGAGAGATCCCCTGAAAATAATTGCAGTTAGGATGTTCTGTAGAAACCATCTTCATTCAAAGATATGTTTAAAAAAAGAAAAAGAAAGTGCAATGCCATTAAGAACACCGGGCTGAAAACATTTGGAACACCACTGTGTCTTTCTTATGATATATATATATATATATATATATATATATATATATATATATATATATAATTACAGGTTTCATTGAATATGTCTAAAAAAAAGGCACTGCTATTAAGCATTTTATTATATTTTTCTTGCATATGTACAAGAGATTTCTTTTTGGGACATAAAGTGTGGTAAGAACTGTAAAAATGGTCTTAGATGAAAATCATTTGGACAGTTTTTACACACTAGCTCCCAAAAAGAAATCTATATTATGCAAGCAAAAAAAAAATAATAATAATAATAATAATGATAAGGTCGAATTTTTCTTAAAAAAGAAAACTTAATTACAGTGCCTTGTCAGTCATCTTTTAAATGAAACACACACACACATATATATATATATATATATATATATAAAAATGAAAAGAATTCTATTTTGAACTAAAATTTTAGTTCAAAATAGAATTCTTTTCATTTTTCATTCAAAATACTCAAAATTTTAGGAATACGTTTTCACAGCGTCTCCCACGTGACCATGTTTTAAACGGAGCGCTGATCTTATAAAGCTTTCAGTTATTTGTTTGGATAAGTCTTGTTTCTTATGTACATCGTCTTTGTCATGTTGCATTGATAATGTTATATTTATGAATATGTCCTGAAGATGGTTTATTAGACCGAAACGTCCGACGTTGACATATTAACATTAAAACTGCATAATTGTATATAAGGACTTTTGTTTTGTTTTTTCCGTATATATTTTTCTTCATATATATATGTGTGTGTGTGTGTGTGTGTGTGTGTGTGTGTGTGTGTGTGTGTGTAATTGTGTTTTTATGGGTACCAATCACTTTTATACAGGTAATATTGAAGATGACAAAGAAGGCACTGCAATTAATCATTTTATTATATTTTTTCTTGCATGCATACATGAGACTTCTTTTTGGGACATAGAGTGTATAAGAACAGCCCAAATGATCTTAAGCAAAAATTATTTGAACAGTTCTTACACTAACTCCCAAAAAAAAAAAAAAAAAAATCTTTAGTATGCATGCAAGAAAAAATATAATAAAAGTTTAATTGCAGTGACTTGACAGTCATATTCTGTGTGTGTGTGTGTGTGTGTGTGTGTGTTTCATTTATAATGACTGACAAGGCACTGCAAGTAAGCTTTTCATTATAATCTTTTTTGTATGTGTAAAAGAAGTTTCTTTTTGGATAGTGTGTCCAAAGAAATCTCTTGTATGCATGCAAAACAAAAAAAAAGGAAAGAAAAAAAAAAGAAAAGAAAATTTAACAAAGCTTAATCGCAATGCCTTGTCAGTCATCTTTCAGTGAAACTTCTATAAAAGAAGGACTGATACCCAAGTACACAACTATAAATAATCTATCCCCACTAATAAATATAAATGAAAATTAATTATAACTCTTAGAAAATTTGTATAATTTGAAATAAGATTATTTGGGACCCAAAATACAGCTACTTTTTAAGAAATAAATTAAAATCATAAGCAATAACATATTCTAGGCACTCAGGTATATAACTTCTCATCTTGGTCATAGCAATTTCTTGGCTTCTGTAAAAATACATCATTTACAGAATTCATTTTAAAAAAAATTTAATATTCTACATTTATTTTTAATATTAAAAGTATTTTTTTTTTCTTTGTGGCTTATCCAAGGTGTATTGGAAAGTTCCTGGACTGTACATGCTCTGATTGTATTGTTCAATTGATATGTCACATGACTAACATTTATTGTTACCATCCTACTAAATCATGTTTGATGCTATCTACTCATGTTCAATTATTATTATTATAAAAGGTTTTGTTACATTGTGTTGCAATGGCTATGCAATCTTTACAATAGCTTTTAAATTGTGCTTGCAGCTTTGCATGAAAATGCTTCAGGCTTTAAAACAAACATTCTTGAACACAAGTTTTTGAGTGGCATATATGTTTCAAGGCTGGGTGAATGTTAATTCAAGGCATCTAGTCGTCAGCAAAACACCAGTAAACAATAGGGTGGGAGGAATTTGTAAATTTGCCCATGTGGACAGTCACCTAACCATTTATATTGTCTACTGGAATATGGTGTACATTTTTATGGGCAGAGACACAGACATGGAACTTTCTAATATTACCTCCTACATGGTGAATTTTAAAATATTTAGCAATAACTTTTTTTTTTCCTTTACAAAAGCCATTAGCATTTAACAAAATATTGCTTATAACACCAAGAAGATTTTGACATCACATTGCAATAAGCAACTGATCATTCAATACTGATTAAACAATTTGTACTAATATCCCCATCTTTGTTTTTATCACAATCTTTGGTTTTCTTCAGGTATTGGTTCTCATTGAGGTAGTGAAAAAGTAATAGGCAACACTAGTGATCATGGCACTATTTAACTGGTCTGTTTGTGAAAAAAGTAGGAAATTTTTTTGGCGGCCGGGGGGGTCGTACAATATATTCTTAGATTAGCATTTGTTTGATCTTTTTCTAGCTACGACATTTGTCAGAATTGAAAAATACCAATTTTTTTTAAAAATCAGTCTTGATCATAATGTAAGTACAATTGCAACTCAATCCTTGACTTCTAAAATAGTTATTTGTAGTTAGTTTTTATTTGCAAGCACCAAGTTTGAAATTGTGCTTACGTCATTTATAGCTGCGTACTACTAATGAAGCCCCCTCCCTCAATTCGTAATAGTACAACAATGTTTGTTTAGCAGCATATCAACCCCTTATGGGTCATTTAATGCTGAAATTTAATTTTCTTGGGAGCATTAGCTATTTCTTTTCCAAAAATATATTTCTGGTAATATCATACCCATGACAGTAACAATGACGTAATCGGTTTCAAATAAAAACAAAGTACAGATAACATTTATGAAATAAGGGATTGATATTTAGCACTGGCTTTATATTATGAACAGAACCTGCTCTACTTTTATAAAAAATAAAAAAAAAAAAAAAAAATCAATATTTTTTTTTTATTCTCACATATGTTTTGGCTTGAGGAAGGTTTAACGAGTGCTAACCTACAAAAATTATTGCCCCACCCAACCAATTTTTTTTTTTTCTCACAAGTTGACTAGTGCTATGATCAGCAAATCTGACATACACTTGAAGAATAGCCAAAACTGTAGCAGTTGAAAGATTGCAATAAAACAAAGATGAGAATATTAATTTGAATAATGCATGGAATAATCAAACCATAATGAAGACTTGGGGGTGGGGCGGTCAAGCAAAGTAATTTTTGCAGTCAACTGCGTCTTTGACATCTTGTAGGCAATTTCTAATGTGGCTTTGAAAAAGACTTTTTTGTTTTATCGGTGGTCGATGGATTTGTATTTGTGGTGCTATCTGGCTTTCTTCTGTTGTTTGCAATTGCTTGTTCATGTTGGAATATCATGGCTTTACCAGTCTCTTTCACAGCTTTCTTAGCCACAGCTTTTGGGCCAAAGTTACCTACATTATTAGCTGCCATTGCCACATTTCCAACTGAATATAGAGTGTTCTCAGTTGCTTTGGCTGCTTGACAACCATACCTGAAGAGAAAGAAAAAATATACAAATCTGACATGTGAACAAAATAAAAATATTTAAAGTAATTAACAAAAGATTATGAATAAAAATAGCAAAAGAATATTTTATATAACTAATTAAACTATTGGGGATAACCAAACTTCTCCATTTAAGAGCAAAATTGTAGGGAATAAAATCCCAAAATAAAAACAAAACATTTAAAATACTTTTATAGGAACAAGTTAAAATGTATCTGTATATTTCTGAGATGAGGTATTATAACTATTTACATAATACAAACTGTTGTCCTCATTGTTACTGCCATATTCACAACATATACAACAGCCATTGTATGCTACAACCTACTTCAGGTGATTTATGTTGGAATTTCAAACTGAACCCTTTATTTACTCCAAAGGAGTAGATTGTTCTAATTCCATGCCTTTTTTTGGATATCTCAGTTTCAGTTAATTCTCTTTAAAAGGTTCCCACAGATGTGTGTAAAAAAAAAAATCCAGGACTTTTCAAGGACTATGTTAAGTTTTAAGGACTGAAACTGGTACACATAAAGTGAATGGTCATTAATTCCCAAAATCTGAACTTTGTGAATTCTTTTAATAATTTGACAGACAAGATGTTCATAGAAAAGCTATGGTTGGTTCCAATAATTCACGTCACATGGATCAGTTAAAAGCAGTGAAGAAATCAAAGTGTTGAAGGCTAAAATACAACTGAATGCAGACCTGGTTATATTACACATTTTGTGTAGCATTCTACAGTTTGGAGTTTTGTATTACACACTTTAATTCTTACTGCTACATATTTCAGCTATCTAGACTACTCATGATTTGGAATGTCACAAAAATTCTTGACTGCTGAACATTTCCTGTGAAGTCTAAGTATAATGGTTTTAATGAACAGAACTACAAATAGAAATCTTCACAAAAAGTCTAGACATTTTAGCTACGTCTACTATTCATGGCTTTTGTTGCACATTACACAGAGCACATTGATGATGTTAACATTTTTTCAGTTTATCTAGTTTAGCATTCAGCTCCTTTTCCAATTTTGATATCTCTATGGATTTGTCCTTTGCAGATATTCACATGGCATTAGACTTTGCTATAAGTGTGAAGTTCTGAATCTGCTCAGCTTTCTCTGCATAGCTGATTTGAGCAAATCTTGTATACAGCTTTCAAGTTTGTGTTTTAGGTCTTCAATTATTCTTTTTCCATAAGCATGGATTTCCATTTTTGTCCAACTGCTTCTTCCTGCCTTTTTTTCTTCACAGCCTCAAGGTTGCATGCCGTTCTGGCATTGGAAGCACTGCAGAGAAGAGCCTTAGACATGGAAACATTCGCAGCACCTCCAACTGTGATCAAATAGTCCATGCTAATGCACTGTGTGACCAAAGTTTGTTGTTTCATATTGTCAGTGGAAATTTCCTTATTGACTGAGAAAACTCTCTCCACTGAGGCCTGTCTATGAGAGAGTACTAGTAATCTGCAAACAACTTTCTATTTTTTGATATTTTTTGTTGCTAGACAAAGAAGAGTAGAACAAAGTGTCCAGACAGTCTTCATGTTTGATGAAATTCTTGAAAGCAATATTTCCAGTAGCCTCCTCAAACTCTTTGTACTGACAGATGATGTAATCACAAACTGGCTGATTTGTTTGTTTTCTGTTCATCATGTGGGAAAGACATCTTTTTAGACTGTCTTCTGTGGCAATTTTTTTTTCACAAATGGATCCAGGGTTCAACCATGCAAGTGACCTTACAAGAGGGTATCTAATAGTAGACTGTCAGAAGTTTCTCAATAATGGTGATAAATATTATCTTTATTACAATTCTGAATGCAAACAGATCTATTTTGACATTTCTTTTTTGGGATAAATTTTGGATAGTCCTGTCTGCCAGAAATCCCCACTCGATCTTTGCAGCATCTTTATACATATTTGGTTTAGCAAAATGCTTACAAATTTGGAAATTGTAATTATCTTTTTGGTGTACTCTTCCTTTACAAATCTTCAAGGAAAGGAAGTGATCGTTTATTGCTCTGATATTTTATCAGAAACTGTTTTAAAACAAACACAAAAATCTGCAGTTTCACTGGATATAAGACATCATTTACGTTTGGCAGCACTGCAGAGGATTTGGTCTGGGGACATTTTTGTTTTAAATTTGATAACATCTTGCCAAATGTCTACATTTTCTAGCCATCTATAGCAGAAATACAGTACAAAAATAAAGGGACAGTGTTGCCAGATTGAACTTTTAATATAAAGCCAAGCAATAAAAACGTTTTAAACTATTTCATCATTAAAAGTTTTAAACTATTTCATCATTTTTTCAGACTTACAAAACCTAGAGATATAAATATTTTTATTTTTTCCTCTCCTAAGACACATCAAAGGCACATTTTCTATTTTATCATCTTTATCCTTCCAGTCTACATTTTGAGTTAAATTTGATTCTCAAACTTGTTACTCTTGGCAACAGTGTTTACTCATTGACATGAAATGTGTAAAGTATCTATTGCAGCATGAACTCAACCACTGCTGGCTAGAGATCAAAAGAACTTATTTTTGAAATTGACATGTGAATAAAATTTCTTTAATTGTTCAAATTTTAAAAAACACTGATAAATTTTTACTACTTCTACTAAAATGTATTTTATTAATGTAAAATAATTTAATTTCCTTTCAACTAAAAATCCAATGAGTGTCAATTAATTTATCTTTGATGGAGATGTTTTACTTGTCTTTAACGCTTTTGTATCTTTGCTTTTCCTCTTTTCTTGTTGAGTGAGGGTAGCAGCTAGAAGACACACCATCATATTCTTTCTCTCTTTCTTTCTTGTCATCCAGACAAGAAAATACAGAAGTACTATGAGGTCATGAACTCATTCTAATCAAGGAAACAAATGTTCACAATAACTGCCAAATATTACTGACGACTAAAAAAAAAAAATTTTTAAAGGACAATTTTAGCTTATAAAAGCAGCCAGATTTCTGGATTTTGGCATTATGACATTCATGAATTGAGAAAAGGGATGTGTGGGCAGTCCAATTTAGAAAATTCCAGGACTTTTCAAGGTTTCCAGGACCTGTATGAACTCTGCCTTTAGTAACTCAACTCTCCAATTTTTTGTTCCTTCTGCTGTGCATCAGACACATTGCCCAGTGGATAAGAGTTGATTGAGTAATCCAAAAAGTGACTTGACCCAAAGAGTTCAATACCTGGCCACAGCAGAGGGAACAAAAACTTGCAGAGTTATTCAAGATATCCAAAAAGAGGTATGTCATGTGGAATTAGAACAATCTGTAGATTAAATAAAGGGTTTAGTTTGAAATTCCAACATATATCACCTGAAGAAGGTTGGAATGTACAATGGGCAAAACATTGTGAATATGGCAATAAAGATGAGGACAACAGCCTGAACGATTTAAAAAGTTAAAATGTCTTTAAAATTATCTTTACCATAGACAAACATTTAACTCTAAATGCATATTTGTTGATGAGGGTTGACTGTCAAACCCAAGACATTCCCACCCTTGCAACAGAGAGGAAAATTTATCTGTTGGCTCTGTAATAAAAGAATTACAGATTCACAAAGCAATGATTATATAATCTTTTTTCTCCAATAACGAGAAATGATTATCTAGTGAATTTACAATCTTGATTAGGTGTGGAAGTAAACTTAAATTTTCAAGGATATCAAAAACAAATATTCTTTGTAAGATATTATCTGTTCAGCTGTTACATTTAATTATTATATATTTAGATACTAAGGCTTTAAGAACAAGACACTGGTCCATGGCTAAATACTGGCTTGAGTGAACAGATGATAAACCCATCAAGAAGTTGGTGGTTGCCTATTATTATTACTTTTGAATGGCAAAGACTATTCTCTGATTTTAATAAAACAAATTAATTTATGAAAAAAAAAAAAAAAAAAAAATGATTTAAGTCATTATTTTAAATTTTTGACAAGTTTTGTTACAATTTATCTATGTTACCTCACCTTCACTGAAAGACCGAAATTATTCTGCTCTGAGTGTTAAATAAGTAGTTACTTTCAAAGATTTGCTAAAATATGAGCATACAGAAAGTAAAAAATGCTCCAAACTAAAAAAAAAAAAAAAAAAAAAAAAAAAATTGTCAAAATCTTTGTTATTATTAAAAGAAAAGACGAAATGGTTTTTTGATTAATAAATCCTTTTTAGAATATTTGAAATTTTGGTTTAAAATTTTTTTTTTTTCGCATCAGTGGTGGGGACTAAAGATTAGTATAGGAAATTTTAGTGTCTTTGTGATGAAAAACACACAGATTTGGAAATTCTTGCAAAAATTCAAGTATCAAATTTTAAGGGAAACTTTGCAGGACTTATTCACAAATGAATAAAATTACTTTAAAAATGTACCCCCCCCCAAAAAAAAATCTTGGTAAAATTCAACTATATCCTTGACAACTGCTCCTTTGTCATCTTCATCTACTGTTGGTCCCTTATATATTTGGATCGGTGTCAGTTTAACAATACAAGTATACACCAATTACAAGGGGAAATTCTGAGTTACCAATCTGGGCATGAACATGTCTTATCAGACATGCTCCATCAAGGACATGGCTTAAGAAAAAAAGCCAAACTACAATCCCTGATGTGTAGTGAATAGCCAATATTCCTAAAAAGAGCTTAGATTTTGCATTTAACCTATTTAGACTTCTTTTTTGGGGGGGGGGCAGGTAGTGCCAAAAACTGATTCAGCACCAAAAAAACTTTCTCTCTCCAAGGTTCCAACCTAGGTATTTATTTTTTTTTTTTTAATCATTTTCTTTTTTCAAATTATTTCATTCCAAGGTGATAAAGCCATAAGGAATTACTGTAAGTGAAGAAAAAGTTTCTGAGAAGAAAGGATAATAAAAAGACCAGGATTCAAGAAGACAGATGATGATTGACATTCTTAAAAAGTATTTTTTTTTTTTTAAGATATTAGTAATATATATATATATATATATATATATATATATATATATATATATATATATACACACACACATACTTGTAGTTTACAATATGTACAGTTTCTTCAGTAAGTCCTCTGGCCAAATTTTTTGCTGCTGCTTCTAAACCAAGATACACAGTCCCAAATCCTGTGATAAAAGAAAACAAACATTAAAACAATGTTATTGAAGCACTTCAATGACTACAGTTCATAATGTAAAAATATATTTCATAATTAGATGCTAAATGAGTAAAAGCTGATGGCATGACAAAGTGACTATACTAATTAAACATTTCACCGAATCAACACTAGTATGAACCAATTATAACAGGCATAAGTCATTTCACCTTAAGGCAAAGGTCAGCAAATTCATAACATGTTCAATCATTACTTAGTAATAGGTATGATGATAAACTACATCTGGCAACAAAATCTGATCAGGAGATTTTGAGGAGCATGGAACCACTTCATAATTACTGTTGTTCCTAAGTCCACCCTGACCTTGGGTGGTAGCACCTGCTAGGGTCCCAGCCATGAGAAAATAGTGAACTCCCAAACAAACAAAACCCAATGAAAATATAAAAATACATTTTTATAGTAAAATTACCAGCAATACATATTTATAGCAAAATGACCAGCAATGCATTTTATCTTTAGTTGAAGGCATGCAATTATATCCAAAATATCTAGATTTTGGCATTAAATACCTCAGAGGTTGATATGCTGCTAAACAAAATAGACCAACATGAAAGAACTCTTTCATGACATTAATCAACATAATATCCTAGAATTTCTTAAAAAAAAAAAAAAAAAAAAAAAAAATCAAACTGTATTTCAAAATATAACTTCAACAAAACTACAACATAAAAACACACATATCATCACCTCCACTAATTATGTCCACACAAACATGCATATCCACAAAAGCTGAGCATTATTTACCAGGTATTCAATTGTGAAAGTAGAATAACATTTTTATTACTTCAAAGCCACCAAGAAAATTAAATTTTGGTATTAAATGACCCATAAGGAGTTGATATGCTATTAAACAAACAATCTTCACTAGGCCAATATTTTAATATCTCTAACAGCTAAAAGGGTCATGACAGACACATCCCAAGACAATGAGAAACATTAGAGCATAAAAAACAATGTTCATTTGTATTAAAACCAAAATTAAATTTTTTTTTTTTTACAGTTTATCAACCCATATTTTGGGGATTGTAAGAATAATTATTTTTTTTTGTGAGTGATTTTTCCTTAATACAAGTCCTACTATTTAACCCACAGATTGGGGTGGAGATGAATTAATATCTTTTCCAAGTGTATTTGGGTGTAAGTAAATGCAATGAACCCAACTGGAATTCAAACTCAGCTCTCCAATTTATCATTCTGAGCAGTTTTCCATTACAGCACCTGCACATCCAAGATTCTGTTTGATGAAGTCCATAAAAATTACCCATATCTCTTTACTTCTTAGTTTCAGCTGCTTTTTTGTTGCAGCTGTCAGATATTATTTTGTAGTGATTAATAAACAGCACTGAGCAGAAATGAAGAATATGTCTCTGGTGAGACATATTTTTTATATTCTTTGTTTCTTTTTAGGAGAGCCTCACTTGGCACCAATTATTTTCAATCTGCACTGTCTATTAACAATTGTCAAATGACAATTTGCTAGTCGAGATAAAAAAAAAAAAAGAAAAAAAAATCAACAACAGAAATAATAATGAAAAAAATAATAATTGAATGTTTTCATGGTCAAATCTATTCTTTGTTTATTTACTACTGTTAACAAGGTTGCAAACAAGCCACTTTCCAGCCCTCATCAGGTGTAATACATAGAGAGAAAAAAAAAGAAACCTCTAATTTTCAATGACAGAAATTGTGGGTATATAAATCGCTGTTGTCAGCTTTATCTTGTATTCAAGAATTTAATTTCTTCTTGGCTGATTGCTACCTTTATGATGATGGCATTGATGACTAAATTCGCTGCCAATGTGCAAGTTCAGGATGAGAAGCTTCCAGTTTCACAAAAACCTGCTATCATCATTTCCTATCGCTGTTTGTTTTGCAAGAACTTGGAGATGAAACAAAATCAGAGAAGAAAGTGCTGATGGTGTGAATTTTTTTAAGGTGAACTTCAACTTACCAAGAAGTGACTCACATACTTGATTTTATTACCTTCTTCTGAGGCACATAAGGAATGAGATGTAGAATTCAGTTATGAAACTACAACAGAGTGCCAATAACTTATAATTTCATCCACTGGTTCAACTGTTGAGACATGTTGTAATTGCCATCTACTTCCACTGTTGGGGGTCTTTGTGGTTGGTCGTGCTTAGTCTGGGTCCACGTTTTCAACTGTGCCATTAATGACAGAGCAATGCTGTTGGGAGTTCTAAACTCCTGATAGTGTACATGAATGAATAATTTCTGTCGTTGGTAGGTTTCTGTAGATAATGCGTTAACGACAATAAATGTACAAAGAAGAGATCTGAATGTTCAATATGTTATTGACTAGTAACAGAAAATAATTGGTAATGCTCTAAGAAATTCAAATAATATCACAACTAATATTATCAGTGTGAAGAAGGTGTATGTGATTGAGAATTCTATAACAACCACAGTAAAGACTTCACTTTGTAATTATTCTTGAAGACATTAAATGATAAATAAAAAACAGGTCTTCCCTTTTAGTAATTAACTAGCAGCATGGATCGGCGTTGCCCATGCTTGATTCAAAAATTGTACGACTCATACAGCAATCGCTATCACTTGACTTAAAATATTTTTGCCCTTCCTTGCCTTTAAAGGAGTGCCCTTTGCCGTGCTGATGTTGCTACATGCCTTACTTCTTGCCTATCTCACACTGTGAATTTTTTCTAAGCTCTATACTAAAGCATTAAATCTGTTACGAAAAAAGAACTAAACAAAATGAACACAAAATGATCAGCTAAAAAAAAAAAGGACTCGTAACTGGAAGGACCGAATAAAAAAGAATGTTAACAACAAATACTTTTCACACAACCAAGTTTTAGTTTTGCGGAATCAGAATCAACATTGAGTTTAAGCTGTTTAATGAGCCAATTGGTAAAATTTTTCCCACTTGTGATGAATGCAGCTATCGATTTTTTTTGCATGCTAGCATGCTAGTTAACATTTGTGTCAGTCAGCTGTTGGCTCTCACGCTGGCCAATAGAATCTTCCTGCCTATTCATGGCAGCCAGCTATAGGCTCTCACTCTGGCCAGTACAAAATGGCCGCAAACTACATGAAAACTGCCATAGAAGCATGAAAAAAAAAATCAATTATTTCCACTGTCGATGGGAGTTGGGAAATGCAAAGTCAGTCTTGGCCTTCCCGCTAACTTGGAGCATGTACATGTAAATTTTGGTGCAAATTCGTTAAAAATTGCGGCCGTGCATTCGTTACACACACATCCTGCCTTTTATGGATAGAGATAAAGATTACCACAGCAGGTAAATTGCTTCACCATTAATCTTCCAGACTATTACTTCTGTGGTCAGTTTGATTTTCACTAAATTACACTTATACCTTAAATATTTAATAATTTTAGTTAGGTACCTCCAATACTTCGCAAGATGTCAGTATAGCATAATGATAACAGGCCCAAAACTTAATGTTTTTTTTTTTATGGATACTCCTTCCAACTGGCCTTCTACCAGAACAAAGCTACACTTAGTAAATAATATAAACATAGCAGATATTCTCCTGTTGTGATTTCATTTGCATTCTATCAGACATTAAATACGAGATTTGCAATTTGTTGTCAGCACCCACTTGCATCTGAATCGTAATTCTCTCTCACTATTCCCTCTCTCCCCTGGTGGCAGAGATGGTTGTGAATCAAAAAAGAATTTGAGGAGACCCTTTGTATGAATTTGATTTTGGTGGACAACTATGTGCAATGAAAAAGCCCACACACTTGGCCAGAAGTGCCTCCCTTGTAACTCACAGGGGACTGAGACAGGCAAGATCTGGAAACCCTGGTTGCATCAGGCTGTTGGATGTTTGGACTGTCAAAGCCCGCTTTTGTTATGCCAGCTTGACTAGCACTGCCCTCTTCTGTTGGTTTAGCTGTTGAGATCGTGTAGATCTTTGCCTATTCTGCCATTGGTCATGTTCATTCTGGTCTTTCCTCTATGACCTTACCGCCTTGGGTGGCTCTTCAGGAGGCTTCACACTTGGGATCACTGGGTTAAGTAAGCCTTCTTCCATAACAAGGTATAACCATATATATTTTCACACTGAATGTCAGAGTGAACAGTTCCTTATAAAAAGGTACCACTTTGACTTATTACTTTAATGGCAATAATAGAAACTAATAAAATTATCATTAAATATATGAGAAGATTTTTATTATCTGTCTATATTTCTGACATGAGGTATTATGTACACTATTTACATTATTTGGACTATTGTCCTCATCTTTGTTGCCATATTTATCACAATGTTTCTTCAGGTGGTTGGAATGTTGAACTGAACCCTTTATTTCGCTCACTGGGATAGACTGTTCTAGTACCACGTGCCATGTTTAATGGATGTCAGTTATCAGTTATCTCCTGTTAATTCCTCTTTCCAAGTTCTCCACTGCCTTAACCAGGTATTGAACTTACATTCTTTTGGTCCTGTCACTGGATCTAATTAACGCCTTTATCCACTGTGCCATTTTTATTATTGTTGTTGCTAAAAATAAATATTTGAGAGATAAATAATAAAGGAATTAAATTTCAGATTTGTTGGAGTCATAATGTTATTTTTTTTTTTTCAGTAGTGAATTTCTTCCTTTATTATTTATCTTTAGACTTTGTAATTAATACAGGATTATCACTGACATTTCATGCATGTAGTAGCTACTGAAAAGGATGTGAAAATCTACATAGCTAAAGTCTGGGCTGCCTTGAATAAAATGGATATAATCTGGAAATCTGATTTTCCAGACAACCTCTAGCAGAGATTCTTTCCAGCCACTGTAAAGGTGATCTTAATGTAAACTGCTACTACCTGGACATTATTAACTAAAACCCTAGCATCTAAGCAAGATGGAACCTACACTTGGATGCTGAGAACTATATTGGTTTGGTTTGTTTAACAGCATATCAACTCCTCATGGGTCATTTAATGCCAAAATTTTCTTTTCTTTTAAGATTTGATCATTTTTTTTTTCACCCCACCAAAAATTATATTGCTGGTAATTTTTTCTAATATATTTTTATATTTTCATGTTTTGAACCCAGGTTGGGGGTTCACTCTTTACCCATATCTTAGACCCTAACAAGTGCTTGGTCAGAGTGGGCCTGGGAACAACAGCAATTAAGAGATGGTTCCATGTTTCTTGAAACCTCCTGATCAGAGAGAGAGAGAGAGAGAGAGAGCAAGAGGCCTTGCTGCTGGATGTAGTTTATTGTCATACCATGGATGTGGCTCACATTGGTAATATAGCTCTCAAGAAATTTTGTTACCTTTAAAGAGTTAAAATATATAACAGTTGCAAATTTTAAAATTTTCCCCTTAATTTACATTTATAATTAATTAATATTAACCTGTTGAATCCTGACCACTTGCTGGACACAATCTCTGAATATTTGAATAAATTTCATATTTTTAGATCTGTCTGTGTCACAGAACAAATCATCAGTAAAGAGCATCAAATGTCTAGTACAAAGTTGCTCATAGGAACAGCCTTTTTCTACTTACATTAAACTGGGTATTTCTTTTCAATAATTAGACACGAGAGAATTATCAGCTGGCAATATGGGTTCCTAAATTGTAGTGGGGAAGAATAGTATAAAATAATATTATATTTCAAAGCTTAGTGAAATGCCATTTGAAATTCACTCACCTTTAATTCCACTGGCAGCCACTTCAACTGCAGCATCAATATTGGAAGCAGTTTCTGGATTGTTCTTTACAGATTTTGGTAATAATTTGCTTCCATGTTCCTTAATGTGTGGAGCTAACAATCGACCCGCAGCCATGGTAGCATCACCAAGTTTACTCACTAGAATACAAAAGCAGAAATATAAGACTTGAGGTTGACAATGGGTGTAAAAGGTGTTTCTGGTTGGATGATGAAAGCAGTTATGAAAGAGTGGTTTATATAGGGAAGGTGCTACTGCGACACAGAGAAAGAAAAAAAAGTAAGAGAGAAAGAAAAAAAAGAAAGGAAATAAAGAAAAAAAAGGAAATAAAGAAAAAAAGAGGGAAAAAAAAGAAGAGGTATCTTTGGATACAGGTGATAAAGAAAAATTCATTACTAGCCCTGGAGTGACCATAGGCTGCTGGCTATGTGGCCTGGTCAATCAAGACATCACCTAAAAACAACCAGCATTCTGAAAGTTTGGATTTGTCACAGGGACAATGTGCTGGCTTGTGGAATTGGCTAAGGTTGGATACTGAGAAAGTGGGAGAAGGAAGAGAGAGATTAACACCACCTATATGGAGTGATGGTGTTAGATGAGATGTGAAAGGAGTTGGAGTTAAGAGGCAGCTTGATTCCTCTGACCAGACCACTCTCAAAAGGGGACTGGACAACTCCTAAATTTGGAAAATTACTCAAATAAACATATTTTGAAAATATGGAATTTTAGAAAAGGTTGATGCTAAGGGTAGAAGATAACTAAATGCAAACCTTGGTCAACCCCACCCCTGCTGGATGCAGGACTCCATATAAGCTGGAGGTTTGGACAACTTGGAGAGACCCCACATTACTGCTACTGGAATCTACATCGTTCACCAAAACCTCCAGACCAAGACCTTGTGCTTGCCCTGAAGACCAGAACTTAAAAATTTAAATTACTACTAACACAGCATATAACCTCCAGAAGGGGATCCTAGTGTCATCTGATTATAACAGTAAATGGGTACAGTTAAAACCATTTACTGCAAATCATATATAAACCAAATAGTTGTTACATTTTTAACCAAAGTTAATTCTTTATTCCAAAGAGTTTGTTTTTTAGGTAGCTCCTTGCTGTTGACCTGTTCTTCACTCCAGTTTACTTCACCAGCAATTTTCTCATCATCTGAGATCAAAAATACAATGTGGCAGGAGTGAAGGGTCATGAAACAGATAAACACCATCTCGGTCAAGTGGAACCGTGCTCTTAACACAATACCAGCGACACACCAGCAATGTGTTAATGATTGAGGAGTCAGCTAGAAGGTAACCACAGTGGTCTGAAGGAACCTGAAGTCCAACATGGGGAATGCAGGGTTACATTATTGGTTGCTGTTGACCAGAATCAACTCAGGGCTACACTGCCAAACATTTAAACAGCTTACAAGCAACTTATTTAATACAGACTTTTGTCAAAAGCCTCTGTGAGCCAGTGTATAAAGAGACAAGCAGAAGGACCATATTTTGGGGCTTTGAAAGTATGGCTGTGTTTTACTGGTTTAGAGTGTCTCCTTACCATCTGAAATGGTAGATTTTTAAGTAGAAAATCTGTATCAAATTTTGCTGCAGAAACTAGTAAAATACTTAGGAAGGGTTTGGTGATGTGTTAAGAGATGGACCAAAATAGTTTTGGTGAATACACTTCAAGGATGTAAGAATATCTTGATAACTAAGCTAATTTCTTTCCCCTATAAAGGATGATAATTCAAAATACAACCGAGTTACTTCCCATGGTGACAAGCTGACACATATAGGAATTCATAATTTCAATCTAACCAAATCCTTGTTGTTCTCAGACTACTGTCTGAGATGTGTTAAAATACACTTGTCTTTTATTTTCATTTGTTTTTGTTCATCCCAACAAGCGAGAATATAACAATAAGTGTTCTGGACAACAGTTGACAGGTATGGCATTAAATGATAAATATTACAAATGTGTGTTATAATCTGATTGCAGACAAGCTCTCCATGATGCTTGTGGAACCATAGTATTGTTGTACAATACTGTTCAATCTGAACATGTTTTAAACAGAAGACTTAAGGTTGCCACATTCATGCAAAGACTGATTAACAATCATAGACATTGCATTGTAGGGAATGCCAAGCTCAAGCTAGAAATGACACTGGAACCCAATTCCATCAAAATCGTAACTGATGTTGGCCTATGATCAGGACCCAGAGCCAAAACAGTCTTGACACCAAAAATTAAAAAACAAAAGCATAGCCAATAAGAAAGGAGTATATAAGTGACATTGTAACATCAAGTCAATATTGGTGTTAGCTTATTTTTAAGTTCCAAAACATCCATTAGGAATTCATTCTATTGAGTCAAACTGTAAATTACTCTTTTTTTAAATTCAAGATTTTGAAGAAAGTGAAGGAGAGCATTGAATGCAAATATCAGCCATAACTTCAAGACACCTTAACCCACACAGAAATCTGTTAACAGTTCCTAGCTTGCATAACCCTGAGAGTCATTCTCCATGACCATCCACATAATTCCCTCCTCTGCAGCTTTTTTTCTGTTTCACAAAATTAAATTATAGCTCAAAGAAGTGGTGTTGTTCCATGGTGAGGAACAAGGACTGAGAAAATGTGACACTGATGGGACATATTGAAGGCAAGTGGGACAGAGGAAATCATTGCATAGCCTAACTAATGAGTTTGTGAAAATGGTAGGCATAACAGGGTTTAGAAGAGATATCAAAAAGATAAATTTTACTAAAAGTAACAACAGGGTAGGAAATTGTGGAGAGCCATGATCAACCATGACCTGAAAGGAAATACTACATAGAAGATTAATAACAGAAGAACTATATATGCAACAAAGTGCAGCAACAACAACACATACACAAAAAAAGGAAGAAGGGGGCAAGTTGGGCCAAGAACTTCATTTTCCAATTTTTTTTTTTGTTTGCTTCCAAGACACACCTAAAACTGATAGAAAAATTTATTTGAAGTACTTACAGGCATAACCACTGACGCGAACGGCTGTGTGGGTGGCAACTCGAAGATACTCCACACTTTTCTGGGTAGCAGGATCAACACGTTTCCTTTCTCCTGGTGATATACGAGAGATTATCTGTTTTGATCCTTTCTTCAACAACACAGTTCCATGTTCAGCACCCTTACCAAGGCCCCATGCAAGAAAACCAGCAACTATAAGAAAATATATTTGCAACGGTACATATTACTAAAACAACTTATTTTCTCGTTTTGTCAGCATAATTCTGTGAATGAATAATATCACCCTTTTATTAAAATCCACTCCAACCTGCATATCAAATTCATACTCTTTCCTACAAACTAATCAGTGCTTACAAATTATTTACTCCATGAAGATAATTTTGAAACAGTAAAGCAAGTTATTACTCATTAAAAGCAAAATAACTTCTCCCCATACACACACAACTTTTATTACAACTTTAAATGTTAAAATAGATTGAATGATTAATTTTTTATGGTTTATCAACCTTTTGTGAATTATTTAAAACCAAAACATTTTGGTTGTAAGAATAAATCATTAATGTAAGAATAGGCATTCGGATGTCTAGGTGCACTTGAGGAGCCATGATACAGCAAAACAGTAGTGTCTGCGAATGACATAATTTAGCTCTTGAAAAGACATTTCAATTGAGCACTTTTGAAAGATAGGCTAATTCTATAAACAACAGCCACCTGGGTTAATGAGGCGAATGAAGAAAACAGTAACCAGCGAGTAAATTCAAGCTCTCCCAACTGGTATTTCAAACTTGAGTGGTTTCCTTCCTGAGTTCTGTCTCAAATCACACTAACTGCCCGTTCTAGCCGTCAACCGTGAACGTCCCTCGAAGAACTCCCCCGACTTGGAAAAAAGTAGTTGCTTTTTATAGTTGTTCATGTACCCATAATCCCTTGCGTCTTCCTGTGATCCCATAATTCATTGCGTCCATGTCCCATAATGCATTGCATCGTTATTGGATAAAAATGCGATGCCAGTCCCCCTCATTCTTTTATGTTATCTGGCCGAGGATGGATTACGTCAGAGCGGTAAGTGCTTTTTTTTTCTCTCCCTCATTTCAACTGCAGTAGCTTTACATGCTAAGCAAATACGGGCTTTTTTTGGCGGGGACAAGGCAAGTCGCGACCAGTTGTGCTCGTCCCAGGTTCTGTCTCATGTCCGCCACACTCCCCCTGATCTCCGGATCACACAGATGACAGTGAGGATAACGGTCTTTTGTTCGGTGCTCCTCCGAAGGGGGATTGGTTGAACTTCTTCATCAGAGGAGCTCTCATTAGACCGTCCCGATCTATTGGCAAACTACCGCTATCGGAGTGATTGGTTGTTGAATCCAACTCTATGTATATTGGCTGTTCACTATCCTCCGTGTCTTCTTCGTCAGTTGTGGGATTCGAGCCCAAAAAAGGCGCGAGGTCTCTAACATGACGAGGCGTTCCATCGACCCGACTGACTGCTGACTCACCACCTCGGTCACACGTCCGGTTCCAAATTTGGTCGTGCATTTACCACGTGGAGTCTTAACCCAGACAATGTCCCCTTCCTTGTATTCCCCTTGGTTATTTGTGATTCAGGCGGGGCGTCGGCGTCGATGCCTCTCACCCGGACGTGGTATGTGTGCAGTACATCAGCCGGTGCCGTGGAAGGTGAAAGGTTGTCCTTAGGGGTGACGTTATGCCAGTAAACCGCTTCCAAGACTGAACAATTTTTCCTGGCCGCTATGGTTTGGCATTCTTGTGGTTTGCGTTCCACAATGCAGTCCACGTTTTTTGTGCTCGGGTTAAACGTCACTCTAAAAGTCAGGCTTGTTGATAACAATGGCGGCACATGTGTTCAAGTTTCAGCTTGAGCTTCGCCTGATTCGGTCAAGTAAACACCTCCGAGCACTTTGATTGCATCAATCCCGAGAAGAAGATCGAATCCCAGCAACTGCCCTTCCACGACCAGAACCTCAACAGTCACGGGCTGAATATGCTCGGACGCCCAACTTAATTTTACCGTATCCACGGCACTTCAGGGTCTTCTCCGTCGGCAGTCAACACTCCCACCTCTTCCTGCTTCCAGCAGCGACACACAGTCTTGCTCACCAGAGTCTGTGAGCATCCGAATCCACTAGAGCTGTGCACTCGACTCCATCTACAAATACTTGTACGGTGGGAAGCTTCCGGTTTTTACTTGTTCGGGAGAAGGCTTATTGACGCCTTCTCCCCTTGGGGACAATTCCCTGGCATTCTGAAATGTGTCCGATGCCGTTGCATCGAAAACACCGCTTGTCGCGACCAGACCTCTGCGTTCTGTTTGACCTCTCCTGACGTCCTTGTGTACAATTCTTCGCCATATGGTTGGGTCCAGAGCACTTGTAGCAGGTAATCGTTCTGCTAACAGGTTTGGCAGGGGAACCTCAGCTTCTGAGGCGTTGGCTCTACGGATGTGGCGGCCAATACCTGGCACCCTTCGTCATCCGTCATAATAGCCCTTGCCGGGTCAGAATCTGTTCTAGATTCATGTCGTCCATCCTGGAAGAAGCTTTGAAGCTGCCTAACATGATGTGGCAGTCCTGACACAAATGCACATGCCATCCACCGATCAGGTAGCGGTTCTCCTACTAGCCCGCGTAAGCGATGCATTTCAGCCAGAATTCATCCACAGTTTCCCCTGGAAGACGCCGTCCCATAAATTGGTCGAGCGCATTAAATTTGTCAGTCGCGTATGCAGTCATAAGGGCCCGTTTAATTTGTTCGCGTCTGCCCTCTGCTCTCCACTGAGTTGTCTATATACAGCGGGGCACCGCCTCCAAAAGTCGTAAAAGGCAAGATGCGCCGATCTTGTCCATGGCACAAAGTTCGCAGACCAATTCCACATTTTCTATCCATTCAACAATGGGCATATCCGTTGGGGCGCCGCTGAATTCTGGAATCAAGCGGACGTCAAAGACTTTGCCTTCCATTTTGAAGAATCAATATGCCGAAATAGCTTGAGGCGAATGAAGAAAACAGTAACCAGCGAGTAAATTCAAGCTCTCCCAACTGGTATTTCAAACTTGAGTCGTTCCTTCCTGAGTTCTGTCTCCAAATCACACTAACTGCCCGTTCTAGCCGTCAACCGTGAACGTCCCTCGAAGAACTTCGCCGACTTGGAAAAAAGTAGTTGTTTTATAGTTGTTCATGTACCCATAATCCCTTGCGTCTTCCTGTGATCCCATAATTCATTGCGTCCATGTCCCATAATGCATTGCATCGTTATTGGATAAAAATGCGATGCCAGTCCCCCCTCATTCTTTTATGTTATCTGGCCGAGGATGGATTACGTCAGAGCGGTAAGTGCTTTTTTTCTCTCCCTCATTTCAACTGCAGTAGCTTTACATGCTAAGCAAATATGGGCTCTTTTTTGGCGGGAACAAGGCAAGTCGCGACCAGTTGTGCTCGTCCCAGGTTCTGTCTCATGTCCGCCACAAAAGCTCTTCAGTAAAATGAATTGGAGCACTTCGGCTGATTGGCATTTGTTTACATTTGTAAAAACAATACGCTAGATTTAGCTGTTTCTCTCTGTTGAATGAAGATAGCTCAGTGGTAGAAACTCTGACTGACACCAAATCGGTTGGGTTCCAGTCTGGGCTTGAGGCATTCAGATGCCTAGTACTGTCTGCAAATGACACACACACTTATATATAACTTAAAAAGCTTTCATTCCACAGGATCTCTCATATTGCTTAATGCTCCCATGTTAAATTTAAATCTGAAATACGATTACTTGAGGAAAAACAAATGTGCCTATCTTATCTGGTGTTGATATATTTTATTTGTGATAATGCCACTTGACACTTATTTAAAAGAAATCTACAAATCATAAGGTAGGTAGGTTGATTTATTTGGGGAAATGTATACAAGAAATTGCTGAAAAGTTCTTTGCCATACCAAGAAGACTTAAAAGCAAAATGTTTGGCAATTTGGCTATACTGAGAACATTCTAGCAATCCTTCACCCACACAGAAATGTGTACACATAGTTGGTACTCAGAGACTAATTGAACTTGTGCGCACGTGAGAGAGAGATTGCGGAATGTAGGCAAATTAATCCGTCCATAAACCCAGCATTTGTTATAACAGAACTTCAACAGCAGGCTCAGTAGGCCAGTCTAGTAAGCTTAGTCCTCAGATGTGATACTGTGCCAAACTTATTAAATACCTATTATGCTTACCTTTTTCAATGCCCTTAGCAACTTTTGTACTTGTTTTTTCCTCTTCCAATTCTAAGCCTTCATCTACAGACACTGGTATTTTGTATGTTGGTACTTCAATGTATTCTGGAGGCCCTTCTTGTCTCTGGTAATGAGTCATAGAGGCAAGTAAGTCTTCAAATAGATCCTTTTCATCTTGTGTCACTGTGTCTGGTAGTATCAAACCAACTGCACAACCTACATAAATACAAAAATCATTAAAATGGTTAAAATTAATTTTTATTCAAGAGCAAAATGTTTCAGATACTGAAAAGTACAAGTGAAAACAATTCAGGACATCAAAGATGTTATCTCTGAATAAAAGAGAGAAAAAAAGAAAAGAAAAAAGAATCAAGTTCAAATTATTCCAAAAATATAAATAAAATATAATTAAAAGAAATAAATAAGCAAGTAAGCTAAAACAGAATTAGGCTATTCATGTGGAACAACTTTAGTAATTCTATAATTTAATATTAAAAAAAAAAAAAAGAAAAAATTTCAAAGTACATTTTTGCCAGCTTATTTTCCTAATATTTTGAATATAAATATTTCTTAATTTAGTAATTATTTATTAGACCCAAACTAACGCACTAATCCTGCATAGAATTTATAGCGGTAAAAAGGTAACCTTATTTGTCACATTTATAGTAGTTTTTTTTTTGTTTTTTTTTTTTATAAGTAATCAGTACTCACTTTTTGGAATAGATTTATAAGAATTCTAATAATCAAAAATTAATACAATGTTCCAAGAGTAAAGGGTTAAAATCTAGAACTGGGGACATAATTTGCATGTGCAAAAATGAAAAACAATTTGTTAGAATTTTTTTTTTTTTTAAACTTTTTGAAAGAAAAGTGCAAAGCAAAGAACTTGTGATAATTGTTGCTTCAATATAACCATGTTATCCAAAAGTAGTTCTGATGGTTGTTTTTGGAGATGTCCTAAAACCAGTTATAGAAAAAAAAAATATCTTTCAGAAAAGGGTCATTTTTTATTTTCATACTCAAACAATAATGAATAGACAGTTTCATTTAAAGAATTTTCACAGAGGAAATGGAACCAACAAGCATCTGCACAAATGGGAATATATATCAAAATATGTATTTCAAGAAATTAATGAAAAAACGTTTTTGAAAATATATTAAACATAATAAACAATATATATAAATTTTAACTTGCCATTTTGCACATATGAATTATAGGCCTGATTCTAGACTTTTACCAAGTAAATAAGTAATTCTAAAACAATTTCTATCAGGAGAGAGAGAGAGAGAGGAGAGAAATTATGCAAACAAAAAACAGGCATTGTTGGAAGAGTTAAAAAATTTTGTCTCCAGCAAATAAAGCAGTAATATTATTTTGTGATAGTGAAATTACATATTCTGTTTGTGCATTGAAGTAAAATTTAGGGTTAAAGAGGGGAAATTTACACCAATAACCTAATATAATGGATAAAAGATTTCTTACAAGGATTTCCATCCATGGAGATGCGTATTGAAGTCTTACGTGCAGGGGTCACATTTACTGTTTAAAACAAGAAACCACAGCAGAAAAAGTTTTAAAATTAAATAATAAGCATTAAATCAAGTATAAATAAAAAAAAAAAGGATGAAAACAAGCCAACCAGTAAATGAATTATAAAAGTCAAGTAAAGAAAGTAATTTTCTATTATTTAAGTCTTTAAATGCCAAAGAAAGAAAAATATAATGTAAACAAATTTAAATTTTCCATCACTCCTGATATAATTATTACTTTACTAGCAAAACCCAAGTAAATTACGAAGACTTACAAATAAAATTTTTAATGCTGCACTCTGTACTTTTCAAGCCATAACCATTCCCAGATTGTCATAAGAAAAATGATGCAGTCTCTCTTAAAAATACTGAAATGTCTTCAACATTGTTGCTTGAAAGTAACAGGAAAGTTATGAAACATGATTTAACCCTTCAATACAAACAACTACCTTTATCTGTGTTTAACTGTTAGGATGATATTTTGGAGGTTTGATGAAATGTCACTTTCTTCAGGCACGTCCTATGAAGTATCACAATCTGTTCCTAAAGACAAACATTTTGATCTTGTCAGATTATACCGTTTTGTCCCCAGAACAAAGCAGGCTTTTTGAAATGATAGGCAAACTGTTGATAAGTGTTCATGCAGCTGGACTACAGCAGACAGTCCTATCCAAAGGATTAGACAATTAATTATATTCTTGATTATTTCTGGGCCAGTTCTTTGCATATCCTTCTCAAAAAGTTCTCAAGTTATGACTTGTGCATTATTGTAGTGAATGTGCATCAGTACAGATGCCCTGGATTGTGTGCAGACATGTATGTCAAAACCAGTTACATCCAAGTTATCCCCATTAGCAGTCGGTCCCATGGACATTTTGTTTTTAAGGTTGCTGTGCCAGATTGCCAATGATTATTCAAAGTACACATTGGTGTTATAAATTCTTAGGCTTGGTTCATCGAATGTTTTGATTGCTTGGTAGAAATTTGTAAATTAATCATTTCAATCTGAAACAGCAATTTTTATCGAGTTTACCATCATTTTTAGAATGTATCTAAATCTTATGTGCTACTTTCTGTTGTTCTTATTAAATAAATCGATATGCAAGTAAAATTTTCTTCTACAAAATATATCCTACGTATTTAGTATATTCAGATAAGTTTTAGCTGAGTAATAAAAGAAATTATTTTCTTAAAAATTACTGTGTTTAATACTTTAGTGTCACAGTATATAAAGTTGGTGCAAAAATTAATTGCAATTTTTATTTTTTGTTAAAATCTCAGATGTTTATTTTTAAATAAATCATGTTCACATAACATTAGATCAATGCAAAAGTTTGTGCCTGATTGGAAAATTAAAAACAAAATTTAAAATACAAAAAAAATTATTAGTCAAGTACATGGACTCTGTAGTTTTAACAACTGTGTTCCATCGTTCTACAAATTTGTTGATGCCATTTTTGTAAAAACATTGTTTTTGTTTGAAGAAGGTCGTGAAGTAGTTTTCGATGGACTGTACAGAGTCAAATTTTTGGTCATCTGTAGAAAGTGGAACAAATGAAAATCTGAAGGAACCAAGTCATTTTGCTAAAATTGGTCATTTTTCTTGAAGCCAAATCTTTTCAAATGGCAGTCAAGATTAATTTTCAAACTCTTAGCAATCTCTTCCCTTGAAATTTTTGGTTTTGTAAGTATAGCATCTTCATCAAGGTTGGAAGGTCATCCAGAGTGTAGTTGATCGTGACAAAATTTACCAAACCTTCTGAGTATTTAAAAAACAGTTCTGACACTTACTCCTTTCTGAAATTCAGAGTAGTATCAAATGGTGAAAGTACAACATTTTATCCCCGACCTTTAAGGCATTTATTTATGGACAAAACATCAGTATTCAACAAAGTTTGACTCACAACTGAACTGAAACGTTTCAATCTAAAGCACACCAGAAATCTACACAAAAACAAACACCAGTGTAAAGTTGTGGCCATTTTATATTAACAATGGAAATCAGGCATAAAATTTTGCAATGATTGTTAAATGTTGAAGAGGGAGGTGGCATACATCCTTCAGCAAAGGATGATAAAAAAACAAAAAACAAACAATAAAACATGCAAAACAAATTCATATCCAGAAAAGAAAAGGCTTGACATATGAGTGGTGCAGGAGTTGAACAAAAACTATTGTTACCAAATCTTGTCTGTCCCTTCTTTTTTACACCAAAATTGATTCAATTCTTGCTTATTTGACAAAAAAAAAGAATTTTACATAACTAGACCAAAATATGTCTACATTAACAGCTGTATCTAAAAGGTTCTGGTCACTATTTGGTGGTTTGCCAGTGGAATCAAACAAAGGCACTGCTTTGAATCCTGGCTAAACAATTATAGCAGGAAAGCATTGTCAAAAAAAATCAACAAAAAGCACCAAGAATTGAAATATCTACATCCAACATTGGTCATTTGAAAAGAACCAATAACACCTGACAGCATTATCTTGTGCAAATGACTATAGAAATGGATGAAACTATGTTATGAAATTACCTCATACAGCTTAGTCATGAGATTACTATGAGTGAATACCATTTTTTTCAATCAAATCAATTTTCTGCATGAGATATTTTATAATAACTGAGCAACAGGTATGCTTTCAACTTTCAATTCATCAATACCAGGAGACTTGTCTATTGTTGGTAACAATGTATAAATTTTAATTTTTATTAATAAAATAATTTAACCATTAACTTTAATGCAGCACACAGCTTAGAATCAAATATTCGATGTTTTAAGGTTGATAATTAAAATCTGCAACTCTCTTCACATCTACTTATGATTTATGCCACATGTAAATGAAAAATGGAATGAAAAGAGAAAGAAAAGAGAAAAAAAAAAGAAAAAAAAGAGTATGCGAATGAAAAGAGGAGAAAAAAAAGAGTACGCGAATGAAAAGAGGAGAAAAAAAAGAGTACGAGAATGAAAAGAGGAGAAAAAAAGAGTACGAGAATGAAAAGAAGAGAAAAAGAGTACGAGAATGAAAAGAAGAGAAAAAGAGTACGAGAATGAAAAGAAGAGAAAAAGAGTACAAGAATGAAAAAAAAAAAGAGTACGAGAATGAAAAAAAAAAGAGTACGAGAATGAAAAAAAAAAATACGAAATGAAAAAAAAAAAATATGAAAAAAAAAAAAAAAAAAAATGAAAAAAAAAAAAAAGAGTATGAGAATGAAAAAAAAAAAAAAAGTATGAAAAAAAAAAAAAAAAAGAGTATGAGAATGAAAAAAAAAAAAGAGTATGAGAATGAAAAAAAAAGAAAAAAGAGTATGAGAATGAAAAATAAAGAAAAAAGAGTATGAATGAAAAAAAAAAAAAAAAGAGTATATATGAAAAAAAAAAAAAGTTTATAATATACAAATAAATTTAAAGATTAAAACAAAAAAAACATTAGACAGAAGAAAAATATACAAACTAAAAAAAACAAAGTTTCAGACAATTGTTAAATAAAGTAGAAAATACTTGCTTCTCACCTTCTTGAGGTGCCAACATATCTGGGAAAATATAGGCACCATAAGTGGCATGTAGCACTGGAGACATTCCAGGTAACATGGGATACACCCACTCACCAACTTGTAAGAACGCAGGTGGGGTATCCGAAGAAGATTCTTCAGATGGCGTTATACGATTAATGGTCAAGGCATTAGGGTAAGACGGTGCCGTGATGTGACCATCAGCAGTTATGTAGAAAATCTGTACTCCATCAGGGATACAAAAGATTTGTGTAGCATCCCGTGACACCCGTCGGTTACCGTTTACCACATTTGAATAGTTTGAGGCAGAGCTAAATCCACTGGAAGGTGATGACATCACCTCTTCATAAGATGGAGGACTGTCCATATTTGGACCATCGGAAGCCAGAGTTGGGGTGTTGGATAGCCGGAGCATGTCAAGACGCGATTCAATTTGCATTTTCGTTTTGGCTAACTTATGCATCATTCTTCGATAGGATTCTCGGTCTTCGTTGTCTAGCTGTTGGTCATCAAGTGTGATGTTCATCCCTTTTTGAATTTCTTCCATTGACATTGAGTACATGTTGATGGCATCGTTTGATTTACCATTTTCATCTAGGCAGAGCCCGTCATTGACTAACTGCATAGCTGTATCATAGTGTTTCTGAAGTCTTTTAAGCAGCAGTGGAGAGGGGAGTGATGGACGTGGTGGTACAGATGCACGAGAACTCTGGGCAGACTGTTGGCTGGCCATGGTGATGTATTCTGTAAAAATAAAAAGTAAACAGTTTAGCAATATTTATATCAAACTTTTATAAATGAAAAGTTACCCTCACCAATTCTCTTAACTATTACATATTAATGAATTAAGTTAGCTGAATTCTTAGATCAACAATTTCCTTTAGTTAAAAGACAAAATTCTTGGTTGAATAAATTAATTTTTCTCAGTGTTTAAAAAACAACACAATGAAGAAAACTAGCTAAAAATTAGGTTTCTTAATTCTCTGTCAACTTTGATCTTCAAAAATTTAAATGCAATATCAATTGATAGCTTGTCATTATTGTCCCTCCTTAATAGTATATTTTTCTCATATTCTCTTACTCAGTGACCCCTTGTGGCTTTTGTGCATTGCTTGGGGGTGAAATGATTTAAGAAACAAAAAGTAAAAAAACAAAAACAAAACTTTCATCCATCTTGAAAGATAGTAAGCCCTTCCCTCTGTGTGTGTGTGTGTGTGTGTGTGTGTGTGTGTGTGTGTGTGTGTGTGTGTGTGTATATATATATATATATATATATATATATATATATATATAGCCAAGTGGTTAGAACATTTGCATTCTGACCATGAGACCTGGGTTCGAATCTCACTATGGTCGATTTGTCAGGACGGAGACTTCCTGATGTTATCGGTCTGGAGGGGTCGATCCCAGTGTGCAGCACATTTAGAAAGTGTCTGAAACCATACCATGACCCAAGCCTTGTGAGTGAAATTGGGTAGACAAAATTCTTGGGGGGGGGGCGTCAATAGTTGTGCTAGCACAAAGCCACAAGTCATTGTGGCTGAGGGCTTGAGCATGCTGGCCTTGTTTAAATTGTTGATCACGCTAGAAAACACACTCTTTCCCAGAAACTCTAAGTAAGGTCTACTCAGTATAGTTGTAGTATAAACCACAGGTGGGCCCTGTGGGTGTTGGATAAACACAAATGAGCCTGAGCAAGCATCTGCAACAGGGATTAGCTACCCGTCCTAGTAGATGGGTATCCTCAAATATGAGTGGCCAGCTATATATATATATATATATACACACACACACACAGGGGGTGCTGAAAAGTCAACTGTTAAACTCCAATTTGATGCTTGCTAATAGGTTAAGAGGAGAAATTTTTCTGCACCCTTTCATCTAATAGTGTTTCATCCTGTAGTGTTAAAATGACAGCAGTATATTTTTATTGTCAGTACAGTAAACTGTGTGTGACAAGGTGATCATTTTTGTACTAATGAACACTTATTTTAAAACAAACTGAATAGTTTTTTTTTTCTGAACTCAAAAATCATCTAAAAAATTTATATAACAAACCTGTGAATACAAACTGTAAGAAAAATAAATTAAAAAAACCATTACATGCTGTCCAGAAAAAAACAAAACCAGTCTAGGAATGTCTAATATCTCACAGAATCTTTTTACCCTTTCTAATATACTATCACTGTCCTAGGGAAATCCACAAGTATAGTCCTGGGTATAATGACAAACTACATATGGTAGCAAGTCCTCTGACTGTTGTTGTTCAAGTCTGTCCTGACCCAGGGTGGTATCACCTGTTAGGGTTCAAGCTATGGGCAAATAACGAACCACACAACAAAAAACTATGAAAATATAAAAATCTTTATAGTAAAAATGCCAGCAATATACTTTATATAAAGAATTACCAAAAATACATATTTATAGAAAAATGACCATCAATATATTTCATCTGTAGTTGAAGGCATACAATTATATTCAAATTATATTTAATTGAAGCCATTAAATTGTGTTCAAAATATTTAGATTTCAGCATTAAATAACCCATAGAGGTTGATATGCTGCTAAACAAAATCCACCAACCAAACAAGAACTTTCATTACATAAATGATAATCCATATAATATTCTATAATTTCTTAAATCAAACTGTATTCCAAAATAACTTCAACCACAAGATAAAACACATATATGACCACCTCAAGTAATCATATCCACACATGCATGAATGCACAAAAGCTGAGTAATATCTACCATGTATTCAATTGTGAAAGCAGAATCACTTATAGAGGGGGCTTATTTTCTGTGAAACGGAAATTGTGATTTTGAAGTAGAATTTTTTTTTGCCTTTTGTAACTCACTTACCCGTCAGATACCAAAGGGTAAAGTCGGTAATGTTTTAGCACCCCACCTCTTACCTACTGTCCCTCTACAGTTCACAGTATTTCAGAACCAAGTTTTATGAAGTTGACTTGATTTAATTAGAAAAAAGTGGTAGTAGTAGGAGGGGTTTTTTTTGGAGGGCGGGGTACACAAATTTTCTCTTTTTTTGTTTTATCCTTTCTTTTTCCTATCACATAAGGTGATAGAAGTGGGGACAGTTTGGCATTTCAGAATGCCAAATTTTATGAATTTTTTTTTTTCCAAAAATGTTATTTAATAATTTCAATAAAGCAACCAAACAATAATGTAGCTTTTTGTCTCTAGATGACTTTATGACTTTGTAGTGTTACTTTTCTGTAGGTTTTGCCACTTTCACTTAATTCTTATTTAGGATTGTACAACTCTTTGCCAGGGTTGTCTCAAAAACTCATCAAGAAGGGCTTGAAGAGTATGAAACACAAGTAAAAATATTTCATTTTTCTTTTATTGTTTTAATAACATTTATTTTTACACTTTCTCACTAAGTATTATAAAATGAAGCAAAAACAGAAATCTCTACTGAAAATAGGGGACACACACACACACAAAAAAAAAAAAAAAAAAAAAAAAAAACAAATTCCCTAAAACATGAAACAGAAAATTGGTCCCAGTAAACATGTTTTTATTACTTCAAAGCACCCAAGAAAATTAATTTTTTTTCGCATTAAATGATCCATAAAGAGTTTATATGCCATTTAGACCAACAAATCAAATCACAAGTAGGAAGTATATTGCAAAGACATGCATTAATATTTCCTCAATGTTGCAATGCCCTCACCAGGTCAGTTGGGAAAGAGTTTATATATGCCTGCAGCTTATCTTTTTTTTTTTTTTTTTTTGTACCAATCCTAAAAAATATGATTAGTGAATGATTGTCAGTTTAAGACAGAAGAGTGCTAGTAAAAGACAAAAAACTATTATATCAAATTTCAACACAAGAGCATATTAGAAGATACATTATTTACTCATTACTCCCTCTACATTTGTACATATAAAAATGTACCATTAGTTTTTTTAGTTGGCCATAAATGTTATAAGTGCCAGGAAAAGTCATTAAAACCTACCCTTTCCACCTTGACAGAAAACAGTATTTTTTTGTCTATCAAACAGCTACAAGGGGAAAAAATATTTTTAGAGAAAGAATTACGATGTTTAGAAAGGGCACTTATACTTATGAAAAAGAGACTGTTGAAATATTTAGGGAATATAATGAGGAAAGAGGGCTTGGAAAATTTGACACTGACAGGACATATTGAAGGCAAGCAGGACAGAGGAAAACTGATCATAAACTACCTAACGAGCCTGTGTAAATGGATGTCAGAACAGAGTTTAGGAGAGATTATAAAAAACAAAATTTATTAAGAGCTACAAAGGACAGGAAACTGTGGAGAGACATGATTACTAACATCCAGAAAGGACATGGCACATAGAAGAAGCAGCAGCAGTAGTCAATAACAAAAACAAACCCACATTCCTGCCATTAAAAAAAAAAATATATATATAAATATATATATATATATATATATATATATATATATATATATATATATATATATATATATATATATATATATATATATATATATATATATATATATATATATAAAAAAACCTTGAGGTGGTGTAATGGTTAGCAAGCTTGTCTCTCTAGAAGAATTATGACTGAGTAGTGAGTTCAATCCTCACTGGGTGCCCCTACTTTCGACCTTGTGCCACATCTAAGCTACCCTTGAAAAATCACTATATATATATATATATATAAACGAATAAATAAAGAATTTCCATTTTGGATCCTGGAATGTTTGCACTCTCCAGGACAATGATTCTGCACCAGAGTGTAAAACAGCTCTTGTTTCTCTCGAGTTGAAGAAATATAACATTGACATAGCAGCCATTAGTGAAACATGTCTAGCTGGTAATTCTCACCTTAAGGAAGAAAAAGGTGGATCTGTATTTTTATGGGCTGGCAAGACTGAGAAAGAGCCACACCAGTCTGGTGTTGGCCTTGCCATCAAGTCAGACCTTGCTAGCTCACTGCCTTCCTTGCCTAAACGTGGATCTGATCACATAATGGCATTAACCCTTAATTATGGAGTGCAACATCCATGTGACGATGGTTAGCTGCTACGTGGCAACCTTAGGTAATTCAGATAAAGAAAAAGATGATTTTTACAATCTCCTTCGGGATATCATCTCCAAAGTCCAACATAAGGATAAATTAATCCTGACAGGTGACTTCAATGCTCGTGTTGGCAATGATTATCATTCTTGGAAGGGCGTTTTAGGTCAAAAAAAAAAAAGAAAAAAAAAAAGGGATTTATACATGTTATTAAATATGATAGACAATGAATATTTAGTTATCTGTCTTTGCTCTTTTCTTGTTTTTATACAAGGGTTGTGTCAGGATGACATAGAAATTTTCTATATCTTTTATGATTGGTTCTATAACTTTTGACCATTTTCTGGTTATCCTCATGAATGTAACATTATTTGTCATCTGAGATGAACTCAAACAAAAAAAAATTTAAATATTCCTTGTTTATTATATTTAATAGCACAGATACATAATTCGTACACATGTGAAGGAGTGCTGAAAAGTACTTAGCCCAACCAAGAAGCACATCCAATAAATCTGATGTTTGGTTGGATTTTGAGAAGCAAGTTGGAGGTGCATGTGCCTGTGTGTGAAGCTGCAGCAGCCAGAAAACACAGACAGGCTTTAGCATCAATTGACTTCAGTGTTAACTGTTTGAGATTTTCCTTAAGTGAACATTCACAAGAGTATACAAGAAATGTGTGAATTCTAAACAAAC